AAACTATGTTACTCTTTCTGCAAGTAGGTATATGACTTTCCGCATAATAATAAACACCCCTTCCCCCCCGTCCTTTAAAAAAAGATTCGCGTGTGCCCTCCTATAAGGACCCTCCGACACTTAATTTTGGGACCCTAAACCCTATATAATTTCATATCCACTTTAAAGGGTACCCCTGATTTTGGGAAACCCCCCTTCTTGGCTCAAGCTGCAGAAGCGGAGGCGCCACCGCTCTTGTAATGATTATCACTGCTGCTGTCTTGCGGCTACGACGGACGCGGCGGTGGCCATTACTATTCTACCATTCTTTCATATTAATATTATTGCTATCATTTATATCTATATTATTAACTCAACTTCCTACCATTTTGTATTTTTGGATTGTGCCTCGAACTCCAATTTGTAGTTGCCCAAAACAGGGGGACCCTAATATAGACCCCAAAATACTATAATCCTCATTATAGGGACCCCCCCAAAAAGGTACCCCTAATTTTGGGAAACCCCACATGCGCAGCTGCTTTCAGGAACAGGAGACCGGAATCACACCGCTTCACCGGGCTGCGGCCTTTGGCTGGCCGCAGCAGGTCCAAGGGGTCAGGGTTTCTTGAGCTGTGTTATAATGAGTTATATAGGGATAATGGAAAAGAACATGGAAATTATTATACAGGGTTATATAGGGTTTAAGGTTTTGAAGGCTTTAGGGATTTGAGGTCTGGGGTTTTGGGGTTTAGGGATTTAGGGTCTAGGGTTAGCGATAAGTGAGCAGGGATTTAGACCTTGGGATTTAGGGATCAGAATTGGGGGTCTTAGGGGGATGTCTCAAGTTTTGGATGGACAGGGGTCCCAAGCATTTCTAATTCTTGAGAGTGTTTTAGGCTTTCTCAAATTTCGACGTTGACTCCTCATGGGGCTTTTTGACACGTTTTCGATTGCTTTGCAAGTATGAAGCCTCCAGTAATTCCACACTTTTGCACTCCTTGGTAACATTGATGCAACTACAAGAGGATCTATTGTGGATTTCTGATTGCTTTTAGGGAGATGCACCAGAGTGAAAAGAGTTGATATCAGACCCTGCGCAGAAAGAAAGGAAGAAAGGAGGTAAGGAATCCGACAAGCAGAGAAGATTTTAGGGCTTCATTTCAACCATGCTCAAAGCATCCGTTTTCTGCATTTTTGCGCAGTTCTTGGTTCACGGATTATGCCGGATTTTCTTTGACGTTCTTTGACAACCAATTTTTGCAGCCCCCGCGAGAGCACATTCATTATAAGGAGGCGGTTGAGAGAAAGTCTAGCGTGTTTACATGAAACTCACTACAACATTGCATGAGATCTTGTTTTTTCCTTGGTGTTCATTGGATCCCTAACTGAGACTGCATTCACGGAGAACAACTTGATTGCATTCTGGAAGCAAACTTTCCTTTGATCGCTGACACTGTTTTTTTTGTGTACCCGCGGCTGGTTTTGAGCTCTGCTGCTGTCGGGACAAGTGCAGCTTGAAGGCTTCACAGGCTGCAGGGATTACAGATAATGCAGGCTTTGCTTTTTTTGAAGTCTTCGCTTATCACCATCCGACGGAACAGTGGACTCTCTGCCTTCTTGGTTTATGGTTGTTAGGAGCTATGACTCTGGAGAAGTGCGTGCTGTTCTTTCTAGCATGAAGCCACATGCTTATGTACCAGGGCGCTGACATGTCGACAAGATAGATTCCCATGTTGTATACTGCTGCCGGTGCTGCCGCCACGGCTGCTGGTAGTCTTGAGGGCTGCGCTGGTACTACAAGAAAGTATAGCTCCACATAATTTCTTTGTTGTTGGTGTTCGAACTTTGTATTGATGAGAAAGTCCAGAAATACATGTATTGGTGACAATGCTGCGTGCTTTTTTGCTTGCATGCAGGCGCAGTTTTTGCTGGCCCGAGATCCAGCATGCGTGGAATCCAGGATCGGGCAGAAATTGGAGCTTCACCAATGCATCCGTCCAGAAGTTTACAGCTCACCAATACAATTACTGAGTACTGTTTGTCATCTGGGTGGTTGTCAAAATCATGGTCCCTCTTTGGGTACCCTAAATATTAGGTGCCGTATTATAATAGGGATCCAAAAAGGACCATAATTTTGGCAACCACCCATCTTCATCCTTCTCTATTTTCACTGTTTCTTATGAAGCCTTCCTCCTGACGTTCTCCTTGCAGTTTGGATGAAGCCTTCTTCCTGCTGTCCTCATCGTCTCATGCAGTGTTATAGAGATTATAATGGAACCCCCCAAAGGTATCCCCCCAGATTTAGAACCCCATTGGGCCTTGTTAAGCTTTAGATAGTCCTTATCAGCTCCTTAAACCCGGGAGTACTTTTGGCTTTTGGGGGGGGTACTATAGTAAACCCTTGCAGTGTGTGTTCCGGCTGACGGTGCGCCGATAGGACTTCCGCTGGACAGTCTGCAGCAGAGATCGCTGAGCGCAGGGTTCCCAGGGAGTTTTTATAGTATAGTATAGCGTAGTATAGCATAGTATAGTATAATATATGATAGTAGAGTATATTATAGTCTACTATAGTAGAGTATATAGTCTAGTATACAGTATAGGATAGTATAATATAGTACAGTATAGTATAGTCATGGCCTGAGCTGCAGGAACAGGGCAGTTAAGAACATGTGTTGGAAGTGCTGGCAAACAACAAGGGGAAGAAGCATAAGAGCAACCAGTAACCAGCATTAGTCGCAATTGTTGTAGAGGCAACTCGGGGAGAGGAAATAGGGTTTAGGGTTTAGGAGGGTTTAGGGTTTAGGGTTTAGGCTTTAGGGTATGGCTTCTGCCTGTTGCAGAGGGGCAAGTAACGCCTGTGTATGTTTAGGTCGACCCTCTAGGCCAATTCGAGAAGTGTGAGTGCTCTGAATTGAGCCATATTCTAAATTCCTTAAAGGGGGTCACGTAGGGGATTTATAGGGGAGACCAGGGGGCAATATAGGGGCTTTTATAGGGGTTTAGGGTTTAGGGCTAGGGGTATACTAGGAGTTTTGATTATAGCTCATTTGATGAAAGATTGTGCGTACCGATCCATCCCTGACTCAGGTCACGAAACTCGCCCCAAAACTGGCCTAAGCTTTTGTTGAGCGAATCCCGAAGAAGAACAACACCAGTAGTCGTACGTGTAACGGTTGTGATGAGGATGAGATGTCACTAGGTGCAACAGAGTTACATGGAGTTTTCCCTTTTAATTGGTCGGTTGCCGGTTTGAAAGCCCCTGATCTTTTAAGAGCCCCAGTCCTCGGATCCTTGTTAGAGCCCCGATGCCAGAAGACAGGGGTTCATGAATGAGGGGGTCCTTAATACCAGAACCGCAGACCTTAAACTTGAAATCCCTAAACCCAAAATTTGACTCCTTACTGTCAACCTTCAGCTTGAAATCCTTAAGCCTTAAGCCCTACATGGCAGTTTCCCAAATACTAGAATCCTATATGGGGACCACCAATCATGATGCTTCCCCATATATCCCCAATATACTATAGTAGTTTCCATTTTCTTTTCCATTATCCCCATATATCCCCAATATACTCCGTAATGAGCCTGGGTCCAAATCAGGCGCGGTGACCTGGTGCAAGCAGCAGGGGCGCTCCGCAGAGGAGCTCAAGAAGCATCAGGAGGTGGATCTGTGAGAAGGTTCCGTGTACTTCTGATGGTGTGACGGCGTAGTAGGAGAGGAGGAGAGGTAGGAGGAGGAGGAGGAGGAGTAATTAGTAGTGGTAGTAGGAGCGGTAAAATGTAGGACAAGCAAGAATGATGATATTTGCGATCACATGTATAGTATAGTCTGCATGGTGGTGGCACCTTCGAGTTCTGTGGCGGAGGCGGGATTGCGTTCACATGCCTCCTTCGATTCCCTCAGTTTTGGGCCCAAAAGCAGCAAATTTTGGAACTTGCCTGGTCCCAAAGCGGATTTGGATTCGCAGATGGACACGGCACTACTTAAGGAGAAGGACCTTGGCCATGAAGCTGGTGCCTTAAATTTCGGTCAAGTTCCGCTGGAAGGCGAATCATGGAAGAAGGCCAGCCTTCGAGAAAGACTGCGACTCACTGGCGCTTTTTATGGCATATAGGGATACATGGGGTTGTAGGGGGTTATGTAGGGTGACATAGGGATATATAGGGCTATGTAAGGTTAAGGGATACTGCCCGAGAGACTGTGACTCATTTATGCTTGGGTAATAATGGAGAACCAAATGGAAAAGAATATGGAAAATGAATGGAGACCCTAGGTCCCTTTAAAGGGGTATATGGGGACATGTGGGGCTACCCCCAATTATGGAGAATCATATAGGCAAGAACATTGAACATTAAATGGAAGCTAGCGTTTCGGGTTTAAGATTTAGGGTTCAGGTTTAGGCTGGGGGGTGAATATAGGGACTGTTGTTTGATATAGGGTTTAGGGTTTAGGGTTGATACGGACTATTGTAAGGACCCAGTAAGGCGAATTACAAGCCAGAAAGTGCTCAGGGACAACGCCTTCTTACCTGTGCCAGCAGTCTTGGGCACTTATGTGCCAATCGGGCTCATTTGGTGGTTCGGCTTTCAATACTTCTTCATGGACACCTCTGCTTCTCTCCTGACCGAGCTGAACATGAAGCTAGGTATCCCAGTAGTACCCTTTTGCCCTTTGTATTTGGGGGTCTCCTTATTAAGAAAGAACAGTAGGAACAAGGGTACCCTTATTTTTAAGGGGTTTAATACTGGGGAACCTAAACCCTAATCCCTAAACCCTAATCCCTAAACCCTTGAACCCCCTTAAACCCTTAAACCCTTAACCTCTTTCGGGTTTACTGGGGAACCTAGGAAGAGATTCCTCATCTATCAGATCCTTCATGGACTCCTTGGCCTTGGTGCTACCTCATCCCTTTTGGGCTTCCGTTTCTGGGCTTAGTTTAAGTTCCTATATTTGGGGGAAACTCTTTTGATTCTTAAGGTTGGGGTTTAGGGTTTAGGGTTTAGGGGTATATATATATATACACGCCCATTATGGTAACTTAATGTAAGTTCCTTAACAGCAACCCAGGTTTCAAATGGCACCTTGGCAGCACAGGCATCCACTTCTTGATGCCCGGGACGATCTGCTCGCCTCTGTTCCCGCGGGTGGCCCACGTTCTGAACCTCGGCCGTGGTGCCTCTTGGCAGCATACCAAGGTTATATGAGTAGTATTTTTTTTGGGGACACTATGGTACCCAATATAGAGTAAGATTATATCCTCCTTTTGGGGTATACTATTTTATATAAGGAACATTATCTTACTAGGTTCAACCACCAACAAAAACATTACTCATATAGGGATATATAGGGTAATGTAGGTTTATATTGGTTTTTCTAGGGTTAGACATAGAACCCCTGGGCAGTGTTGTCAGTCCTGGCATTCAAGGTTCCCGGACAGCGCTCCATTTTGGCCGTGCTTAGCTTTGCAATCTACATTGCCACGCTTGTGCGTGCATTGCGGGCTCCAGAGCTGGGGCAGGGGCAGCTGGTGCCCATCTACTTGGCACTGGGACTGTGCACGACTTTCGATTTCACCATCTACCTCGCAAGCCGCGGTGAGCACTACGTTTACATGCTGGCATGCCTCATGTTCACAGATTGGCGTAATGGGATGCAGTGCGTGCAGTTGGCACTGTGGAGTTGGGCAGGAGTCTCCAAGATGGGACCTTGGTTCCAGTATGTCATCCCCTTCATCACAAAGGATTCTGCGGTAGCCAACCTCCTCCCAAGGGGCTTCCTTGCCAAGATCTTGCTGAAAAACTACCCGAAGGATGTCAACCCCAGCGTTTTGACAACTGTTCTGGCCTGGACCGGTGCACTGTTGGAAATTATCTTTCCTGCTTTATGCGCTAGCTCAGCGCCTCTGAGTTATTTTGGTGCCTATGGTATGATTTGCTATCACACTTTCATTGGGATATGCATGCCCTTTGCGTCGGTCTTCGAATGGAACTTCTTCTGCATGGTCTTGGCCTACTATCTCTTTGTGGTGAACTCGCCCCTCTGTAGCAGGCTTGTTAATGCGTAAGTGCGTAAGCTTTCTGGACAGTCTTCAAACTTGAAACGCTGGATCAATATGGGCATGTTTGAGGGTCTCCCAAAATTCTGTGTACCTTTTTAGGGGTCCCTATAGTCAGAACCATAGTATTTTTGGGTTTATGTTGGGGTCCCCTTTAAGTTAGGGAAACTACCATTTGTTGGCGGAGCCAAGCCGAACACCCAGCTGACCCCGCAATCTACGCGCCCACAGAAATGCTCATGCGGAGGCTACCTCTACAACCCCCCCACAACATGGAACGCAGGAAGCCTAAACCTTAAACCCTAAACTACAAGTCAGTTGGTTGTTGTCCTCCATCCTTGCCCCACCAGGGTGCAGTATTGAATTCTCGAGTCCAAGTGTGAGGCATTTACTTGGCTTGTGCCCCCAAAAAGCTGGCATTAGGGGTTGGATGCAAGGTCCTTCCTGGGTAGTCCTTGAGGGTCCTTGGAGGTTCATGGGATTTCGCAACAACGGCTCTACCTCATCAATGGCCTTACCCGGGTTGCCGAAGTCAAAAAATGGGCTATACCACCGGCTTCGAGTAGATACTACGTCCCTTGAACTCTCCAAGTCCTGAAAGGTCACATGGGGATTGAAGACTTGTTCCTTTGCACAAGAGCCCTAAATCAAGCCCAAACTTGAAGCTTCTAAGGAAAGTCCATCCAACACAAATTGTTTGGACCCTGATGCAGCGCCATGTATTTTCTTAAGCTGCTACATTACAAATGCCTATGTGCTCTCTCTAGGCCGACCCCTTAGCCCTTTAAGCCCTAAACCCCAAATCCTCCTAAACCCTAAACCCTAAACCTTAAACCCTAAACCTTAAACCCTAAGCCCTAAACCCCAAACCCTAGACCTTAAACCCCAAATCCTTCTAAACCCTAAACCTTAAACCCTAAACCCTAAATCTTAAACCCTTAAAGCTGGGAAACCAAGGTTTGCCCTACCATCATCCCTGGGCCTCCAGATTCTGGGTTGTTGTTAAGGACCTTGATTTAAGTTATTAGATTGGGGAAACCTTATAATCTACGATAGGATTAGGCTTTAGGGTTTAGGGTCTAGGGGTGTATATATATATATACACCCATTATGGTGACTAAATTTAAGTTCCTTGACAGCAACCCAGGATGTTCCTGTCCCTGGTCCTTGTCATCATCCCTGTGGTGGGGTTACTCGGTGGAGACAGAAAGGAAGTTTTCGAAATGTAGGGTTTAGGGCAGTTTAGGGTTTAGGGTCTTAACTGCTTAAAGGGGGTCTATACTACAGGGTTTAGGTTTTGGGGTCTTAACTGCTTAAAGGGGGGGTATATCATGCAGTGTTTAGGGTTTAGGGTCTTAACTCCTTAAGGGGGGGGGAAAATAGCACAGGGTTTAGGGTTTAGGGTCTTAACTGCTTAAAGGGGTTGATAGAGTCGGGAAATTATACAGGAAAGTATCATAGGGGTTACTAGAAGAATAGTAGGAAACTAGACTACAGTCCAAATGATGAGGACTTCCTGTACTGCTGTTGATAGGGATTCTGTTTTCTTTACATTGAAATATGTATCTGTTTGCCTCGTTGCTTTGTCGCACGAGGACACGTTGCTTGGAGACTTAATCATTCAGCTGCGCGCTCACGTCCTGGGGCTTCTAATTTGTCAAACTTCATACAGCAATCGGAGCCGAAGGAACACAGGCTGTAAGCAAACTCAAGCTACGGTGGGCGAAACCAATTAAATTAGAGAGAGATTGGCCGTTCTGGTGCCAGTGTAGTCATGCGCAGTGGTCTGCAGTTTCAGCATCGTGCGCGCAATGCACCCCAGCTACAGGCAATATAGAAGGCTGTCGCCTTTATACATGCATGCATGCAGTTCTGCTTGGTTCGTGTCATCCACCTGGCTTTCCGCTGAATTGTGTTAAGCAGGTAACATCCTTCAACCACTTGACAACCTGCAGATAGGCAACTCTACCCGACACTGGTGCCATTCCTACTCGCCTACCGTCCCTACGCTGGCAACTGGCGCTTCCAGTGGTTTCTCGGCTGTGTCAGGCGTCTTGATGTTTTGTTGCTTCTCAAGTGAGCTTTCTAGATTGAACACATCGGTTGCAACAAATTGTTGGCTTTGTTGTTACAACCTTCTGCAGCCGCGCTTTAGCGGACTTGATCAGGTATGTGCTCCACAAAGACGCCTTGTCCAAGCATCAGAAGTTGAAGACACTGGAAGATCCCTTCACTGGAAACAACCTTGGCTGGATGTACAGAACCTTCTTCGGAAAGTGGGGAGGCTCAGCGCAAATGGTGCTTTACCCCACTATCGGCTGTAATTGGATGTGGCTGTCATATGGTGACGGCTCGCGTTGTAGCTATTGCACCTTCCTCTGTCTCAAGTATTTATTCACGGAGAACCTTGAAGTGGAGGCAACCCTTTCTTTTCAGACGGCACTCGCAGAATCATCCATTAAACTTCTTCAGCGAATAAGACGCGGCGTAGATGTTTTAAGTTGATGTTGTCAGGAATGCTTGTGAATTGCAGGTTCTTGTAAGTGCAGGTCACCCCACATCCCAAACTGTCTTCGGAGACTGGCCGAGACTGAGGAGAAGACAGCAGAAGTGCTATCGAGCGATGGGATTATTTCCTCACTGCCAGCATCATCTATGTGCCGGCGTACCGCCCACTGGTCTCCATCTTAGCCACTCGGCTTTTCTTAGCCTGACTAAACTGCGATTTTTATCTGTCCTTGCCGTTGCCATCTGGCTTCTGTGACAAAATGGAGCCACAATGCAATCTAGTAGTTTACCTTTCATTGAGTTTTCAAGTGCCCTTGTCAGGCTGCTCGCTGATGGTCCTTTGACTAGTCTTTCTGGAGTTGATGTTCTTCCGGACCCGACCCTAAACCCTAAACTCCGGTCTATTCTTGAAGTTTTTTTTGGACTAGGAGAAGCTCTGTGAAGAGAACAAGTGGGACATCAATGATGTTCCTCGTCTCCGCACGGCTTCCTCTTAAGATATCACATGTAGGGATTATGTATGGGTTTTGGGCATAGGCTATGTAGTGGATAGACAAAGGGATATATAGCGCCCGTTACTGAGAATCAGAAGAACAGAAATGAGACCTGGGATTATATTGTGAGTTAAAGGACGAGGGTTTCCAAAAAACAGGGGTAGAAGAAGGACTGTGGTATTTGGTGCCCATATAGGGTTTGTAAAGCATCCCTGCCTCTGCTGTTAACCACAGTGGAATCCTTGTTTTGAGAGATCACCCAAAAAAGCTTCAGAAAGGGTCAACGTCTCATGAAGATTTTGGGCGTGCTGTAATCTTGCTGGGCTCATCACTCTAATCCCCAAACCGTCGTAACATGCAGACTGGCAGATATGCTCAACCTTTTTTAGGTTCTAAACCTGAAGCCCTAAACCCCAAACCCTGAACCCTGGCTTTAAAACCCATAAAGTGTCTCCTTGCTGGTAGTTCCGCGAAGCAACGAACAGCGTGGTCGTCATTTACACCGGCAGAGTAGCGCAACAACCTGGGTTCCCCAAAAAATTCAAAGGGGCTATAGGGGATACATAGGGGTGTACAGGGATGTATAGGGGTATCTAGGGATATATAGAACCCTTTCTATAGGTTGGGTACTGCTCCCACTCAGGAGAAGTTGGATAAGAATCATGATATGCTTATATATATAGCCCTTAATAGCACCACAAATATAGACTGTTACTGGGGGGGTAGTACCCAATCTATAGGAATATATAGGCCTTGGCTCCTGAAGCTGAGGTTCTCTTTGCCCACAGCGAGGGCTATCAGAATCAGGCGCGATGTGCAGGAGCCTAAAAGTTGAGCTTCCGGAGAGTTTAGGGTTTGGGGTTTAGGTGGAAATCCGCTAAACCCTAAACCCTGAGCCCTAAACCCTGAACCCTAAACCCCAAACCCTAAACCCTAAACCCTACATACTCAAAAGGCCTCTTGGTGTTCAGAGGCGGCCTTGGGTGTCTTCAGGTTGACTCTGCTAAGCCCTGTCGTTGGGCACTACGACTTTTTGCTGGGTTGCTGTTAAGGATATATGGTCATGAATATGGTTTGCCCAACATAGTAACTTAAATTAAGTTCTTTAAAGCTTAAATCCATGTATTCCCCAGCTTATATTTCATTTTCCATTTTCATTTCCATTTGATTTTCCATTACAGAAAATATAATCCTAAACCCTAAACAGGTCTTCGGTTGGTCCCTTGGGACTGGCTGGATTGCTTCGCGCGAATGCACCAGAGAAGCCTTCAACAAGATATGCCAGTTTGGGAAGGTGCGGAGGGTCCAACAACCCGCATGCGCAAGTTTTCCTGACCTCTATTACTATTGTTATTATTAGGAATACTAATCATTTGTACTGTTGTATGATTATAACTATTACTATTACTACTATTACTATTAGTGTCGGTGCCCCCGCTGCAGGCAGAGATGTATTTCGTGCAGTTCGAGCCGTGCAAGCCTCTTCCCTACGGCAGGGCTCTTAGCATACAGCTTCTGCATCAAAGAGATGGCTTGGGGCTTAGGGTTTGAATCTGTTCCTAACCACCCAATCTGTCCAGAATGCGACGCTTCACAGCACCTAAGGCGTTCAGCATCATACCTGTAGATTCTGCGCTCTGAGGTGAGGATCACCATGTGATCCAGTTCAGATGTTTTGACGTTACGGAGGGCCCCGAGAACGCGCAGATTCACGGTGCAGCAACTGGGGCGAAAGAGCTGGTCTTTATAAGGTTCTCAAGTAGTTTGGCCCCAAACCCCAAGCCCTAAACCTTGTCAATCCTGCTTCATGACCTTCTTGTTTGATGTAGAGGGCTGGATCCGGAAGAGCTTCGGAAGCAATCTGGACTTTAAGTGTGGCTTAGAGTTTAGGGTTTAGGGTTTGGATGCTGGTCTTAAACTAGAGAACGAGTGTGCTGAAAGCGTTTGGAGCAGCGCGGTAGTCAGCACCGCGACATCTAACATCATTTCATCTGTTCATGTCTCCTCGTATACACGCACCCGTCCGTAACTGTAAAATATGCTTTCTTAATGTAGAAACATACGACTCAATAAGAGCTACCTCACGAAAGCCGTACGAAAATCTCACAGTATACCACTAACATCCCATCCGAGGCCTCACGAACGCCGAACAAGACCCTGATCACACTATCCCATTTACATCATTCCATCCATCAAACATCAAGCCATCCTATAGACGCCACCTTCACGGAAATCAAAACAAAAACAAACGAAAACCTTTTGCAACACTTTTGGGAAGTTTATTATGTTCGTCAGAGCTACATTGTCGAAAGCCTCGCGAAAACTTAAGGATGGACTTCGATATAATTTATAAGTAGAGCTAACACGTGTGAAAACAGCGCATCATGCCATCAAACTAGCAAGGCCCGTACAGAAACCTCACATCATGCCACCAGCCTCACGACAACCTCATCCGTCATCCCATCAATCACGCACCAATCCTTAAAGGGGATTGTCTAGGGGACTATATAGGGACCATTACAGAAACTTATTCATGCAAATACAAGGAGTTACGACTATGGCTCATATCTAAAAATCGGCCATCCTATAGCACACACGTTGGATGCTGGTGCACAGATCGAGCAGTGCAGCCAGCTGAAGTCCGGTGGTCATGGTCTGCTGCCGTTCTTCGGCAGATTAAATGGGCCTGGCGAGATCAGCCATCACTCTGATCTTTCTTGCCCGTGCAAAAATCGCCAATTTTTGGCGAGCAGCATTCAAACTGGCTTCTGGGCAGCCCAAAATCAAACCCCCAATAGGCATGGAGATCCCACAAGCAGTAACATCCACATCGTCACACAACACATCCTCTAGCCCAGCCGCTCGGAATGCCAAAGTAAAGACTTTCCGTATCATACGCAACTGTACTGCAACATGCGTCCTGTACGGTCTATACGGCACATCCCTGGCCGACCGCCAACAGCCCGAGACTGGACAAATGGCCGGAAAAGCCAAATCAGATGTTTCATGAAGTAGAAAAACTAGCTCAAACCAAGAAACTGTACAGGCTTGCAAAGAAACGCTGTCAAGATCTAGGAATGCCTGAACAAGGTCTTTGACAAAGTCTGCTGGAAGATGCGGGCATTCCGTGCACGCAATTTCGCACCAATTCACTGGGACCCGTTCTGCTGTGGTGTCCACCCGCTCAATCCAGAGGATCTGGCCGTCGGGAAACTCCAGGTCGCCGACATCAGCATGGTTGTGAGATGGGCGCTGTCCAAGAGTAGCACCCGCAATGTCGAAGTACAGCTGGCGCCAAAAACGCAACAGTTGAGCGTTATGTTGGAACCAATCCAGTGCCCTAGCATGGGCCTCCTTGCAGGACACACTGCGATTGACATTTGCAATTGTTGCCGTGCGATCCGCTGCATCATTCCATTGCTTGATCCAGTCTTCAAGAGGCGATGTCAAACGTGCAGCATCCAAATGTGAATGAACATGTTGGACTGAGACCGCATCACTTGGTACCTGTTCGAGCACTAGCTGAATCTGCAACCACATATCATGATTTGCGCAATCATCCTCAAGGATGCCACCTGCTAGGAGAAAATGCAGTTGTTCTACAACATGCAAGGCATCCGACCAAATGGTGACTTGTAAGCCAAATCTGACTGTCCTTTTAAAAGCGCAAAGGATTGCCAAAATTTCGGCCCACGGAGCCGTCTGCAGCATGCCATGCACCGGGGCACTACCGATGACCTCACCAGTGCTTGCACAAACAACAGCCCATGCCTCAATGGCTAAACTGGCAAATCCCCATTGCAGACAGCTGCCATCCGTGAAGAGATAATGGCGTCCGTTCGTACTGGGACTGCCACTTAAGTGCCCAGTACAGTCTGGCAAGTGATGCAGGTAAGAAAGAAATCCACCCAGATGAGGATTGGCCGGAGGGAGCAAGTGGTTCCGTACACAGCTTGCAGTGGCCTCCCATGCCTCCGGAAGATTCACACCATTGGGGCGGTAGGCTGCATACTTGGGGCATACACAGATGCGATGCTGGCGTGTGTCCGGAAGGTCACATTCCACGCAGAGCCCGCTTTGCTCGCGGTCATGCACAGCATGCTCGCTACCAAAAAGAAACGCCCCAGATTGCAAGGCTCGGAGGCGTGCCAGGTCCAAAGCGGACATTCGCGCGGTGTCGAGTTGTAGCAGATCCGGTTCCAGGCCATACAAATCGCACATGTGGTGGCGATGTTGCACTCGAGAACTGACATGCTGAAGCCAGGCATGTTCGAGGCGTTCCCTCAGAAGCGCTCTCGGTATTGCCAGCATGTTGTGGCAGAGGCCTTGGTGATCAATCGCAGCCGGCGGGTTGGTAATGTGCCAACCCACCTGGGAAAGGACAACCAGGAGCTTGCTGAAAGGCCCGTGGTGCAAACGTCCATCGAACTGGCGCATGAACTGGCGCCAATGCACAACAAGATCGGCATGCTTTCGCATCATTCTGCGAGCATCACTGACGCAACGCCACAACTGATAGAAGCCCGGATCAGCGTCCGGATGTCCCGAAACACTGAGACGAATCAGGGGGTTAAGGCCCGCTGTGTTCACCTGGAGTGCTTGGATGGCCTTGCTTCTCAGAGCAGTCAAGTGAGCTTCTGCCAGAGGGCAGGCGGAGGCACCATGCAAAGCCCTTGCCCAGAACTTAGCAGCAAGACTTTGAAGCTTAAATGGTAGCGGAGCCAAAGACCTACGTAGCTTTTGAAACAAAGGGCCCAGGCTGCAACATCGCTTGACCAGTTCACGGTTGTGCGTGCGACCTTGATAGGTCAAAAATCCCCCAAGCTCCCGCGCATGCGTGACCACCGGCAGGCCTGTCAACTGCAGCTCTTTGCGCGTGCTGCTTGAGAGGCCCCACACGTAAGATTTGTCCATGTCAAGTTCCAGAGAAAGCATATCACAGACACATTGGGAAAGGCAGATTCCCCGCGCCACCACCGCTGCATTTGTAGCTGTGTGCGCCCAGTTGTCCACATATGAATGTGCCGTCAGGCGGGGCTCATAGATCTCCATGTAACGGTGGTACACGAGTACTGCAATGCACATCGCGCACGGGCTAAGTGGATCGCCCTCTGGAAAGCCTGAAGACGCTCCAAGGGAGCTGCCAACACATTTGCGAATAACAAATCTACGCTCTAAGCTGTTCAACAAGTAGACCAAGGCTGCAACACAGAATCCGGCAGGCCGAGACCCCTGGCGACACCAAACAATGGCTCTCTCGGAAGATTCTCGAAAGCCTTTACAATGTCCGTGGCGAATCCAGCCAACTCGGCACCAGACTGGACAGAGACTTCAATCAGCGCCTCAAGCTGATACCACATGGAAGTAGCCTCACGTCCTGGCATGTAGCCTAGTGCATGAGATGGCGTCAGTGGTTCAATGGCCTGCAAGATCTGTCGAGCTCGCGCTGAGGACCAAGTGCGGTACAAGACTGACAGGATGACAATGGGTCGGTATGCATTAACTGAGTCTGGGGCGCGGCCCGGCTTTAGCAAGCTGAGGACGAAACCCAAAGTCCACTGCGCAGGCCAAGCACGGTCCCCATTCTCGATGGAGTGCAGAAAGTCCAGAAGTTGTTGCATGAGATGCGGCGGCATCTGTTTCAAGTCCAAATGGCTGTAGGCATCAGGACCCCTGGCTGCCCTGGGCTTGTAGCGCCTGAGAGCATCCTTCCATATCTCGACAGTGATCGGCGGAAGCTGTATCCGCAAATTGGGAAAATAAGCAGAGGCAAAAGCCTGCAGTCGATCCCACCCCCCGGAACCATCCGAGGATTTGTTCCAACGCAGGCGCCAAAAATCTTCAAATTCACGCAGGATTTCATCTGAGCGGGAGATCACCAGTGTATGGTCCAGCTCCATCCCTTCGTGAGGCACACAGCCGGACCGCGCAAGGAGACATTCTGGCCCCACTGGTTCAACATCAATTGGAGAGCCGGCAACATGCCATGTGGATATGCCTTTGTCTGGGATACCCTCGTCAAGCAGAACCCGGCCTGAACTGGCATCATGCGCAAGGATCGAGTAAGTTTTGTGCTGCGCCAAAAAGTCTGCCTGATCAGGGCATGGATCCCTCAGATCCTGGAAGAGCAGATTTCGATGCTCCTCATATCGGGCTTTCAGAATCGTGCTTCGCTGACTGGCGCGCCAGGCTTCGAACCTGCGAAAATTCTCCCTGAAACCCTCAAAAAGCCGTTGAGCAAAGGTAGCTGTCGGCAGTTGCTGCGGAAGTTCGGGCGGCGTGCCCTGCAGTTTGACGGTGCGGTGAGGGTACCAATCCGCAAAGCAAGGATGGAACCCTGCTGATGCAAGAATCGCTCGCCACAACTGCAGTCTATAGGTGCAAGCTTCGGCTGTGGATTTGCCACCCCTGAGCGAGTGGACCAAGCTTTGAATCCGCCTCAACTGGCGGTACCGCTGTTTCAGTTCTAGGCACAAAAGTCCGTGGCTCAGCGGTTCTTATTCGGGACGATGTGGTTTCGGGGAGGCCACTGTTGATGATTGTGCAGAGGGGGACAGACGTTTTGCTCAAGCCCTGGACGAAGCCATCAAGGCTCACCTCAAAATGCTTCGAAAAACCTCGCAGCCAGAGCGTGGAGTTGGCAGTCTGATGGGTGAACGGACCAACAGACGCTTGCCAAGATTCGGTATCAGTCTTGCCCCACGGGATGGTTGCCGGGAGCGGCCAGGACTGATATCGTTCGACCCCAGTGTCGATTCTCAGTCCAGCAATTACAGTGGAATGTTCTGCAAAATCATCTTGAACATGGACTTCCCTCAACATGGCCAGAGCTTCAGGCGAAAGGAATATGAAATCCCGTTGAGTCGCCCCCTTACATGTTACAGAGATTGGGCGACCCCACCAACAATTGGCAACCTCCTGGACCTCGGCCCATCCAAGACGTCGCCAGATGGCAATCTGATCCAGAGCACTGGCGTCGTGATTAAAATCACCGGAGATGGCCCTGGCTCCTCGTCCTCCGATCACAAGTTCTCTAGTGAGGTTTGACAAGAGCAGCTCTGTACGATTCTGGGCATCCGGAAAGGTGTACCCTGAGGGAAAACCGTACACATTTGCCGTTGTAAAAACGAGGTGCCCTATAAAATGCTGAACAAGTTGCACCCTCCCTGTCTGATACGCGCCATCTTCCCAGGGGATGCTCAGAGGGCGGGAGGGAAAATCTGAAGCAGTTAGGACCCCGCTCCAACTGCCTGCCCAGTCACTATTGGATCTGGTGGGGGCCCCAGCCCCTGTATGAACACGAACATCACGTTGCATGGCCCTGCATTGTGAGCGCAGGGCACGGCAAGACGAAGGGATTGTGGCAGAAGATAGCTGAGTCTCACTCAGCTGCCATATGCCAGGGCCCAGTTGGGCAAGAATGTGCTCTTTTTGCCGGAAACCGGATGGGTTGGAGGCTCCCACATACACCAAGTCAGGATTGCATGGCCCAGGATGGTCGGCCTCACCATAACGTTGGCTATCAAGCGTGACAGCTTCAGCAGGCAACATGAGAAGCAGAATGCATAGGATCCAGCTCAATAATCTAGATGGGCGGTGGTACAAGTTCGGCCTGTCGCTGCCCGCGCGACAGCCGGGTCGCCCTAGTCACTCTGATCTCGCTTTCTTGCTGGCTGTGAGTTCTTGTAGCAGTGCAGTCTGCTGCTTCATCTGGGCCTGCAGCTGCTCGCCAAGCTGTGCTCCCAGTGCACCGACCGCACTGGTAACAGTCTGATTGACTGCTTCCGCCGTGCGGGAGACCTCCGAATGTACCTGGGCAAGTTGGCGCTGCTGCTTTTCGAGACGCCCATCCAAAGCCTGAAGGTGGGATGCATTGTCCGACACCTGCTTGCCGAAAGAGGAGAACCAACCTTCAAATTTTTCATTCTGCAACCGAAGCTCTGAGACAGAGACCTCAAGCTTCTTGAAGCGATCCTCATGTGAAGCAGAGAGATCCTTCAGTGCAGAAGCCCCTTGACGTTGCCATGCACAGTTTCTGTGACGCCATCCTTGAGCTCCTGCCTCAATTTGTCAAGCTTTGTGCTCGCTGCGGTGGCTCCTGCTGAGGGGAGTGAAAGACCCGGTGGAGGCTTGATTGCAGTGGCGGCTTTTGCCCAGGGATCAGGCCCCAAAACCCACGGATCGCTCTCTGATGGCCCTGGCTCGCCATCATCATAAATGATGTGGCGCTTGGTTTTGCGAGAGGCGCGCACTGGAACCTGCGTCGGCCCCTGTGAGAGACCCTTCTGCAAAGTAACCAATGCATAGTCCTCCCCAACCGGCAAAGCAGTAGAAGGAGGTTCGCTCTCCGAGCCCACAAGCCAGGCCATGCCCGAAGCATCGCCTTTCAAAGGCTGCAATGGACGTGCTGTCCACTTCCAGCGCTTCAGAAGCGCGGCCAGTTGCTGGCGCTGGATGCCACAGGGCAAAGGGTGGATGCGCCACTTAAAGTGAGCAGCAACTTTGATAAAGGGGACACCCGGCCGAAAGGCCGCAAATACCGACTCCTCGTCCGTCTCGCGGACTCGAAGCCCCCACTTACGGCCAAGCCTGGCAAGGCACAGGGCCTTCTCGCAGGTACGCAAAGCGTGTTGGGCAGCTGCGCGGTCAGCTTGTGGCAGCCGCACGACCGCAAAACCTGGGTGAGCATTGAAGCCATCCTTAGACCGAGGCTCAAAGTACAAACCTTGGGCTTGCGCACACTGAAAATGTTTGAGAGACGAAGCGGGAACGCGAAGCAATGCATGGAAAGCGGCTGCCTCTGAACAGGAGGTGCGTCCCCCGTCAATCTTAGCCCATTGCCGTGCCCAGACGTCAAGAACCAATTGTTCCAATGGTTCGTCCACCGCACAGTGAAAGCGAGGACAGTCGCCCGAGCAGGCGCTGTCTTTGCACAAGGGAACTTTCCAAAGACGCATTTGATTGGGGCTTGGCTGAACTCCTGCCAGTCCAGACCTGCCTCATCCTTGTACACCGACATGCGCATTGCTACTGTCTGCACTGGTTCGAGTTCGGTGATGTCTTGTTTCGCTAGCTCAACGCTTTCATCGCCCAACTGGAGGATGGTCCCCCGGATTAGGATGGGCTCACCTGTTGGAGCGTACGTTGCCGGGTATCGGATGGTTGTTGCCGGCAGGCCTGCCAGAATGTCGTCAGGGAGCACTGCTGTTGACACCAAAGCTAAGGCATCTATGCTGAGCGTGTGAAAATCAGCAAGAAACGGTTGCATTTGCGCTGCGGTGCAAAACGCGACCCCAACCTTTTGAGCTTGGACCTCATGAAATGAAAGTTGGGCCAGAGGTCCCCCTCCAGCCGCGACAAAGCTGCCTTGCAGAAGTTGCAGGTGACTGGGGTCAACATGAAGAGCAGTGGGCTGCTTTCTAGAGGTCTTGCCTTGCTTCTTAGTTTTGCCTTGCGGAACGGCCGACCCAAAGCGCTGGCTCGTCGCTCGGCTCTCGATTTGTGCCTCAAGTTCGTCAGCCGTCACGAACTTAAAGGATGAGGCTGGTTGGGAAGCAGCCGCCTTCAGAGCTGGCCAAGGATTCCTATGAGCCAGAGCCTTTGCCAAGGGGGCAGCACCAATTCGTGCCACTGCGGCTGCAATTCGTTCATCAACCAGGGTTGGCTTTACTCCTCTATCCAGCAGGATCTTGCGGAACTCCTGCTCTTGTTCTTTTGAAAGGCCACCTGCAGCTCGAACACGGGCTAGGCCTCCGTACTGAGTAGCGGCCGCATTTAGTCCTGGCAAAAGATGCCAGAGAGGAGCTGGACTGCCAAGAAGATACTGGCTCGCGTGCAGGAGGGCGATTGCGCCGCAGCTGTAAGCACTTTCTTGTGGAATCCAGCAGAATTTTTGCAGAGGAAGGGCAAATCTGTTCCAGAGCTGAGCAATCCTCCAGGCTATCTTCTCAGCTGCGTGCGCCGATCGACCTGCGATGCCATCAAACAAGAGCGGCTGAACGCTGCCTTCTGACATGACTTTAAGGACCAGAAGGGCCCAATGGCCATCATGTGGGAAAACACCACTAGCAAAGTGGTGCCTACCGCTGACGGCCCAAGTGGATCAGTGCACCGCCGAAGTTGGTCAGGCTGGCGCTCGAGTATCAAAGTGGCAACTGATGGCGGCAGAATGCGTACAAACTCATCATGCCCTAGCATGCTTAGCTGCCGAAGTGCAACCCAGATTAGAGTATCAGAAAGGCCCGCACCCTGGGCAGCAGCAGGTGGTCTAACATCAACGGCAATCGGGCCACTCAGAAGCTCAGTGTCCCGAATGGGCTGCAGAATTGCACGGCAAGTGCGACTGCTTGTTGGTTCAGTCGGAAGCCATTCTGTTCCTGCTCGGACGCCCATGCACGGGGTTCAGGAAGAAGAAAACTTAGGGATGGGGATTGTGTCGAGGGAAGCGCAATGGCCTTCAGTTCCTGCGGTTGTTCCTCTGTTGCCTGAGAAAAGGAACGCGCATTAGGGTCAGGACTAAGGAACCCTAAGGGAGAGGAGGTGGCCGCCGTGGCTGGCAGCTCAACACAGGATGCTGGGGAGACCGGACTAATCAACCCATGCGGAGAGGGTGCGGCATGCTGTGCTTGTGGAAGTCCAGGCTGAGTCAAAAGCAGTCTTTGCTTGAACTGCTCGATGCAGACTGCAGGCACGGTGGCCGAGAAGCCGTCATAGCTTGTTTGAATCCATCCCTGGACCTGCGAGAGCACCCACAAGGCTTGCGTGGGCGCAGCTAGTTGTCCCACCAGACACAGGGCATCACGAGGAGTGTCTGGCAATACGATGTCAGCGGGCAACGTGTTAAGGTCCACCTCCCGGGGGTGAGGAAAACGCAAGTCGTGAATGATTTCAGACCAAATGGCGAAGCCGCGAAGACCAAAACTGCGAAGTCTATCGTCCGAGAAGCTCTGCTTGCGGCACCCGCACGGGCACGCTTGAAGCGCGTTGCCCCAGCTGTGTAAAGCTGTCGGCATGACTCCGGTCAGTTCCAAGCGACGGCAGTCCTGACCGTAATCAGGGTCATCATACTTGCACTTCTCTGCCTCCGTCCATCGAAGGTTTTCTTCCTCCGCCACAGGCCAACTCGGCCAACGAGGCAACACGGTTTCAATGCTGCTGAAACGACCATCTTTTTCCCAATTACACGAGGTAAAGGTTACGCCTTTCGGGACCATGACCGCCCACCATCGCCTACGCCGAGCCGGCCACTGTTCTGCCAACTCCAGAATGGTTGTTTGTACCTGAAAGTTCATGACATCGGCGAAGTGCTGAATCACCTTCATGGTATCAGCGTACTGTGCCACTTCAGCTACACATTCTAGAATGACAGAGCTTGCTCTAGTCAGCCATGCGATACGAAGGATGGCAATTAGAGTCTGACCACGCTGGTCCTTTAGACCCTTGCCCGAACCCAAAATGGAGTATGGCTGGCACGGAAAGCCGGCCAAAATGGCGGCCCTTTCTCCTTCTAGAAGCTCGTGCACTCTTGCTTGTACTGAAAGGTCTTCGACCTTGCCGCAAAGTACCTGGCTGCCGTTGCTGACAATGGTCCTGCAAGCCAAGTCACTATGGTCGACAAAGACTTTGGTTCGCCAACCAAGCTGCTGCGCTCCTATGGAGATGCCGCCTATGCCACAGCACAACTCCACACACTGCTGGAAATGCTTGCACTCCAAAGCGGGCTCCGGGAAAACCTTTGACTCGTCTGTGGGAACCAGTAAAGGGAGGCCAAAAGCCCTGCCTGAAACCCGATAACCATACAGGGTCCAGTTGCCTGAAGTGAAAGCACCTTGCACCGTCACTCTGGTGTCCGAACCCAGGCAGCGAAAGAAAGTCACCTGTAACTCCCAAGACTCCACCTTGCCAACGAAGGCAACAGAAACCCCTTCTTCCAGCAACGGAAGGCCACAAACCATTGCTCGGTCCCTCGAGTGTTGGTTAGGAACAGTCCAGCCAGCTGGAAGGCCCTCGAGCCAGAACTATCGGCCATCCTATAGACCGTATAGACAACCTGATCCACTATAGAAACCCTTCGCAAAGCTCTCAGGAAAAAAAGAGCCTGCTCATCAGGTTCTCATGGGTTATTGCCACTATCCCTTTGTCTTCATACTTGCAAGAAGGTCTTGTAAGTAAGTGTGGGAGTCATCATGGAAATGTCCAGTATTACATGATCATCTTCGTGCTTTGCTGTTCCTCTGAGTTGCAGTCAGAATTCCCAAGCAAGAGAAATACGCCAACATGTCAGCAAGTTTCATGTAACCAGGCTGAAGCAGGAGTTTGCAACAGCTATGGGCCTCTTTTCCAGGTCCTTGTACTATGTCATGATTGAGTTTTTGAGGCCTCAGACCTCCCTAAACCCTAAACCATAAACCCTTAACCCTTAAATCCTAAACCCTAAACCCTAAACCCTTCAATCCTAAACCCTAAGCCCTAAACCAGGGACCCAAGGTTTCATGGCTTCCTGAGCTTTACAGGCTCATCTTAGGAGGCGTTGCGTTTTGTGGCCCATCAAGGGGTAAAAGTATGGGCCCCTAATATGGGNNGGACCCTTAAGGGTACATATAGGGTATATAGTAGGTATATAAGGGTCCCAGGGTTAAGGGCCCATACTAGGGGCCCATGGTTTCAACCTTAGAGCCCAGGTGCCCTACACGCAGCTCGCCGCCTGTCAGCCGGCAGACCTCTTTCTGAGCGAGGGGCAGATGCAACGGGGAAAGTCCATCCGTGGGACCTTCCTCAGCACTTACTACTAAGACTGATGGTTCCTCGGTCGCCGTCTTTCAAAAGAGCTTATGCGTGTGAGCACCACCTTCACGCAGGCAAGAGATTTCTGCTGTTGTCAGGTGCTCTGGTTACCTTTGTGTACATGATGTTGCACCATGTTGCAGGCACATGCAACCGTTTGAACCTTACTCCAGTGCAGGCACGGTTTAGATCGGCAGTGCTGGAAGCGTACACCGCGCAGTTTGTCTTAGAAATCCGGGTTTGAGGTCTGAAATGGACTGAAGGTCGCCCCGGCTTTTGGAAACCATGGACCACTGCACAAGTGGGATAGGGGCGTTTAAGCAACACACAACTCTACAAGCGGTCGCCGCGAGGAAAACCTGCATAGCAGGAGGGTGAGCGTGGTGAGGCAGTAGAAGTAGGGCACTGTCATGTGTACTTCTGATTGGACACCTGCTACGGCTCCAACTGATCAATGACTTTTGCATGCTGGGCCACAGCCCAGCCCACTGGTTTCTGGAGGTGCATGCTTACAATCATCCTAAGGTTCAGGAATTGCTTCCAGCGACTAGTACAGTGCTGGCAGCTCACATGCAAGGCATTGAACCAGCTAGCCACAGAAAGAGTCTTCATGCGTTTCAGTGTGTTTTGCGAGGGTTAGGAGTTTCGCCGTCTACCCATTCAACTCGTACTTGGCTTGTCCAATGGGGTGCCCGTGAGTAGCTGCCATAGCTCTGACCATCAGCTCTTGTTCCTGGGTGGGGTTATGGGGTTCGTGTGTCGCCCTGCACTAGTTTTGAGGTACCTCTACTTTTCTCAGCATGTGCGGAGAAGCGGCGCCACACAGGGGACGCTCGTTACAACGCACCGGTGTCTATTTGTGCTCAAGCTTGACTGTAGCAAACTAGGATCGGGATAGGAATCAACCCATGCTGGGTCGGAACTCCAACATGTTTGGAGCCGTGCCCTTAAATGCAACCACTTGCAGCCACCAACTAGTGCCGCATAAGTCCGCAAAAGAGTGTTCCAGGCTTCCACAAGGCCAAAGGAAATCTCAAGCAAATTGGAAGTACTAGTTTTGGGAACTCATACACTTCATGCCGAGATGTCTACTTGGCTGCCACATGGCATTGTTTGTGCTGCATGACGCAACACAACTTGTCCCCGCAGCTTGGCATGCCTGCCATAGCCATAGTCAGTGACAGAGCAGAGAGTCCAGGGCTGGTAGATGTTGACCCAGTTTAGGGTTTAGGGTTTAGGGGTTTAGAGTGTAGGGACCCATTCTAGATCTTTGGTAAATGCTTTCTGGTATCACGCAGCAACCATGTAGCAAACAGGAGGTTGGGGCAAGCTCAGTTTAGGGGTTTGGCGGAGATCTAGATCTCCCTAAACACAAGTGACATGGGTTCTTCTCAAAGTTATGGGCCCATTTGGGTTACATGTTAGATTAAGGCATTTAATTTAGGGGTACCAAGTTTGGGGCCCTAATTTTGGGAACTACCCACATACCCAAGGAGCCTTTCTCGGACAAAGTCCTGGCTGACAAGACTCAGTGGGGAAACGCCGGCCTCGCCTACGGAAGGTTTGGGCTCTACTTTTTTTTGGGGGATTTAAGGTTTAGGGTTTTAGGGTTTAGGGTTTAGGGATTTAGGGTTTAGGGATTGAGGGTTTAGGGTTTAGGGATTTGGGGCTTAGGGTTAAAGGTTCAGGCTTCATGGACGGTTCAGGGTCAGGGCTTGGGTTTTAGGGTTAACCCTAAACCCTAAACGCTAAACCCTAAACCCTGAACCCTAAACCCTAAACCCTGAACCTGTTTAGGGTTCCGGGCTTCAGGGCTCAGGGTTTCTTCTTGAGCACGGATTCCGTCGTGAGCAGAGACAGGTTCATTTTTGGATATGAAGCCCCTTTTGAGGGTTCCTACCATACGACTTATAGTAGTTGAGGGTCTTTTTTTGGGGGGAAACTACCATATACAGGGGCCCTCAACTTCCCCTAAACCCTAAATCCCTAAGCCCTAAATCCTTAAACCCTAAACCCTAAATGCGTAAACCCTAAATCCCTAAACCCTAAGTCCCTCAACCGGGTTGAGTTGTTGATAGTGACCGAGCTGAGAAATGTGAGGCCAAGCGGCAGTCATTCTGTTCAGTGGGTGTCCTGGATCTCTACAGACTACGGATTATAATGGGGAGTATACAGGGATCGTCTATAGCAATTATTACTTCAGTCTTTTTGAAATTCATTAGCTGGATTGCC